TCCCTCGGTGAGAACCCCGGTCCTCCTCCTCCCCGTCCCCTCTCGCCGGCCACCGCTCGCCATGGCCGAGGCTCGCCATAGCCCGCGCCGTTCGCCGCCTCTGCCGGTGCCCCGCTGCTGCGGTGGCCCCGTGCTCCCCCGCCTCTCCGTCGGCCGCCCCGGCCACCACCGTGTCTGGCCTCGCCCCCGCTTCCCCTTGCCGGCACCGCGCCGTCGGCCGCGGCCTTGCCCGCACCCCGTTCGGGCGAGCGCCCGCACCCGCGCGCCCGTTTAGCCTCATGGGCCACTGACCACAGGGGCCCACGCCCCATAACGTTTTAATAAAGAAAGAGGAATTTAAAATAATAATTATAATTATAAATAATGAAAATAATTAACTAATTAATTAATTAATTAACTAATAGACTTAATTAATTCTGGTTAATTAAACTAAACAGTTAATTAAGTTAACTAATTAACCTAAACCCTAATTAACCTAAATAGAGAATGACAGGTGGGTCCCCCTGGACCCACACGTCAGGTTGACCAGGTCAATGGTCAACATTGACTGCTGCATCACTCTGATGTCATGCTGACATCATCATTTACTATTCTGGATAATGTTAGATTTAAATAATTAATTAAATTCCAGAAATTAATAAAATCTTTAGAAAATCATATCTTTTAATCCGTAACTCGGATTAAAATATTTTCAACATGAAAGTTGCTCAGAACAACGAGACGATTCCGGATACGCAACCCGTTCGTCCGCCACACCCCCCTAACCTATCGAACTTGCAACTTTCCCCCTCTGGCTCCTCTGCCCGAAAACGCGAAACACCGGGAATACTTCCCGGATGTTTCCCCCCCTTCACCGGTATCACCACATACCGCGTGAGGGCACGCCTAGCATCACACTTTGCTTTGTCATGCATCTATTTGCTTAAATATTCATTGTTTCTTCCCCCTCTTCTTCCGCTAGACACCGAGACCGACGCTGCTGCTGCCCAGTACGACTACGGAGTTGACGACCCCTCTCTCTTGCCAGAGCAACCAGGCAAGCCCCCCTTTGATCACCAGATATCGCCTATTCTCCTCTATACTGCTTGCATTAGAGTAGTGTAGCATGTTACTGCTTTCCGTTAATCCTATTCTGATGCATAGCCTGTCATTGTTGCTACAGTCATTGATACCTTACCCGCAATCCTAAATGCTTAGTATAGGATGATAGTTTTATCCTCATTGGCCCTACATTCTTGTCAGTCTGCCTTGCTATACTATTGGTCCGTGATCACTCGGGAGGTGATCACGGGTATATATTATACATGCATACGTACTATACAGATGGTGACTAAAGTCGGGTCAGCTCGAAGAGTACCCGCGAGTGATTCACGGATTGGGGGCTGAAAGGACCTTTGTCCCGACGGCCCTCTGTGTGGATCTTTGTGGCGGAGCGACAGGGCAGGTTGAGACCACCTAGGGGACAGGTGGGCCTGGCCCTGTTCGGCGTTCGCGGATACTTAACATGCTTAACGAGATCTTGGTATTTGATCTGAGTTGGCTACGAGCCTATACGCACTAACCAACTACGTGGGAAAGATATGGGCACTCGGCGTCGTGGTATCAGCCGAAGCACTTCCTGACGTCAGCGACTGAGCAGCGCGCGCCGAATTGGACTGGAACGCCACTAGGCTAGGTCTGCTTTCGGCCGCCCTCGCAACGTGCAGGTGTGTTCAGGGTGATGGGCCCAGACCCCTGGGCGCCTAGGTTTAGACCGGCGTGCTGACCTCTCTGTTGAGCCTAGGTGGGGCTGCGACATGTTGATCTTCCGCGGCCGGGCATGACCCAGGAAAGTGTGTCCGGCCAAATGGGATCAAGCGTGTTGGGTAAGTTGGTGCACCCCTGCAGGGAAGTTAATCTATTCGAATAACCGTGATCTTCGGTAATAGGACGACTTGGAGTTGTACCTTGACCTTATGACAACTAGAACCGGATACTTAATAAAACACACCCTTCCAAGTTTCACAGGCAACCCGGTGATCGCTTTTCCACAGGGCAACGAGGGGAGGATCGCCGGGTAGGATTATGCTATGCGATGCTACTGGAGATGCTACTTGGAGATGCTACTTGGAGATGCTACTTGGAGGACTTCAATCTACTCTCTTCTACATGCTGCAAGACGGAGGTGACCAGAAGCGTAGTCTTCGACAGGATTAGCTATCTCCCTCTTATTCTGGTATTCTGCAGTTCAGTCCACTGATATGGCCCTTTACACATATACCCATGCATATGTAGTGTAGCTCCTTGCTTGCGAGTACTTTGGATGAGTACTCACGGTTGCTTTTCTCCCTCTTTTCCCCCTTTCCCTTCTACCTGGTTGTCGCAACCAGATGCTGGAGCCCTGGAGCCAGCCGCCACCGTCGATGACGACTACTACACTGGAGGTGCCTACTACTACGTGCAGGCCGCTGACGACGACCAAGAGTAGTTAGGAGGATCCCAGACAGGAGGCCTGCGCCTCTTTCAATCTGTATCCCAGTTTGTGCTAGCCTTCTTAAGGCAAACTTGTTTAACTTATGTCTGTACTCAGATATTGTTGCTTCCGCTGACTCGTTTATGATCGAGCACTTGTATTCGAGCCCTCGAGGCCCCTGGCTTGTATTATGATGCTTGTATGACTTATTTTATTTGTAGAGTTGTGTTGTGATATCTTCCCGTGAGTCCCTGATCTTGATCGTACACATTTGCGTGCATGATTAGTGTACGATTGAATCGGGGGCGTCACAAACATCATCCCCAAGCACCTCTAGTGCTAGCCGCACGCCGACAGCCGGCGCATCCTCCTCGTCGGAGGACCCAGATTCCGATCCCAGGCATGAGAACCTCGAACCAGACGATCCGGCCGCCGTCGGCGACTTGGCCGGCCCGGCAGAGGCCGGCAAGGGCGCCAGGGTCAGCCGCCTGCCCCGGTACATGCCTAAGCGTTTCTTAAAATGGGGGAGAATTTCACTTGCCCGGCCTCTGCACCAACTAGGAATGCATACGGCCATTTTTAGTATGAGTACCAAGATAAACATGGTCCTCATATTTTTTTTAAATGAGTATCAAGATATTTTTTGATGAGTGGTTCCACCATCCACCAAACTTGATCCTCAATAAATGGAAGAAAACTCATGTGCATTACCTGTCAATTCTAGGAATTAAACTCGTGTCGTTAGGCTGCACAACCGCATGCCCAACCACTGAGCCAAGGCTCTCTTTGCTTAAAAATGAGGGAGAATTTCACTTCCCCGGCCTCTGCACCAACTAGGGATACATACAACCATTTTAATATGAGTACCAAGATAAACATGGTCCTCATAATATTCATCTACTGCTAACCAAAGTAGAATAGCAACGAGGAGATTTAGGTATTTTACTGACCTATGACCAGGTCGGGGCAATGGAGGCCGCCCTAAGACAAATGACGGATTGACGGTAATCGGTGCCCGCCTGAAGAGATTTAGGTCTTTTACTAACTTGCGACCAGGCCAGGGCAATGGAGGCCGGCGGCCGATCAAGAGCGCTCCAAGACTGGAGGCGGCGTTGGTGCCTAGCTGTGAGCGCGTTAGCTTCTCGGTGACGTCGCCGGCGAGGGGGGGGAGCATGGCGAAGTGACATGGAGGCGAGACATGTCGCTAGGCTACTGGCCTGTCGGGGTGGGACAAGGAGAAGGTCCCGACTCCCGGCCTGTGTAGACGGCAACTCTCAATGCGAACGCTATACCTCGCCTTCAGCGAGTGTAACACCCAACTCACCGAAGGGGGCGAGCAAGATAGGCTGGCCCATGCGCGCGAGAGGCCCCAACATGGGTTTCTGTTTCTTTTTTACGTTTTCTGTTTTCGTTTTTTGGTTTACTTTCATGATTTTTTAGTCTTTTAGTTTTTTAACTTTTGTTTATACTTTCAAATATGCTAAAGATATGCCAATGCAAACACCGAAAGAAATGCTAACTTTTGTTTATATTTTAAACCGAAAGAAATGAAAAACCAAATAAATCAATGCAAAAATAACATATCATTTTCTTTTTTACTTTTGTTTATACTATGCTCGCGTTGCCCCTTCGGGTCGTGCATTATTGCAAGTAAAGCCTCAACATATCTGCAAAGCCAACCTATTCCCCGCACCCTAAAAAAACAAAGGCAATGCGCACATTGGCCTGTGAGTGCTGTCAGCTCAGCCACGATGAGGTTGGGTGCTACCTTGGAGATTTGGTCCATGTCCTCCACAAGGTATTTCTGGCTCAAATAAGCCTTGGCGCTAGCGGCTGATTAACTCGCATGAAGATCACCTCCGACTGTCTGGAGGTTGCGAACTATACACACCTACAGCTATAGCACAATTTGTTTCTACCATACCTAGTACAGTAGAAAGACTAGGGAATTTAGTGAACCTCTTCACTTTACAAATTTGCCTTATCTTGTGTATCTGAACCTTGATTACAACGACCTAAACGGATTTGTCCCAACATCCCTAGGTAACTCTACTAAACTAACCTACAGTGATCTCTTACTATAATTTGTTTTCCCCTAAAAAAACAATTTGTTTCTACCATGCCTAGTACAGTAGGAAGACTAAGGAATTTGATGAGCCTCTCCACTCTGCAGACTTGCCTCGTCTTGTCTATCTGAACCTCGGTCACAACTCTCTCTCAGACCTAACCCCATCAAGCATTGGAGCTCTTGCCAAGCTCGCATCATTAAATCTATCTACAGTTCAATTTTGTTGATGGACCTATTCCACCGTCCATAAGTAATTGTACTAAACTAACCTCTCTCGGTCTATCACACATTTTTTTTTCCAAATCCATTGGAAGCATAGGAAATTTGATGAGTTTATGATACTTAGATCTTTTCAACAATTAAATAAATGGTTTCTTCCCTTCGACCATTTTGAAATTAGCCTCTCTGACAATGCCAGAACTTGGATCCAATCAGCTTAACGGCATGTTACCACCACAATTTTGATCTCTTATAAATCTATCACATCTGGATCTTTCCAACAATCAGATCACAAGTTTCATTGTTACCACCAGCTTCTTCTTGGGAGCCATGCTCGGACTTGACGATGACGGAGTCGATGAAGACGAAGGCAGAGATGAGCTTGAAGCAGATCGAACCACTGGTGCCCCCATACCAGGCGTGCCAGATGTCGTGTTCTAGATTCACGAACAGCGGGAGTTGGGAACCCCCCTTTGTAGATTCGGTGATTAACATAAAATTAACAAATATAAAGCGGTGACGTATGGAGAACTATGAAAACTTCCTTCCTTTATTTTTAGGTAAAGATAAAGATAAAGATGTGGGGTATAGCCAACTTACGGATAGATAATGATCAAATAGACTACGGGTACTTTTTATTCTTGCTAATGACATTTAGGTCATCTCTGCTTGTACGTAGTTTGTTGTTAAGATTCTATGCATTGTCGGCCATCTTCACGCCGAACATGAGGTCGGCGTAGGGAAGAAAGTGGCACACGGGCGAGCCGCCGGGGTGGGTTCCCAGGATCTTGAAGGCTGGGTGAGCTGGGATCCAATTAGAGGTGTCGAAGTGGCACACCGCCGCCATGTCCACGGTAGGGAGGCCGCTGCCGCCGCGGATGGAGACGACGTACGCCTCCTCGGACGAGCCCTCCATCATGTGGCACTCGTACACAGCGTACGGGTAAGCCCTGCTGTGGCATGCCACGTAGCCGCCGCCTCCTCCGCCTAGTGGCTTGATAGCCTGCACAGTGTACGTGCGGCGCGGCAGGCCGGAGTTGGGAAGTGCGGACGCCGCCGCGACCAAGGGCCGGCTCGTGGCCAGCATACGCGTGGCGCTCAGCACGACCCCCTCCAGCGACGTGGCGCACGCCTTCCGTTAGCCGGCGAGAGGCGCCTCGCGGCAGGCGCTCAGTGTCTCGCCTACCCGGGCCGCCTCTTGGGAGCCCGGCGTGATGCCGAACCTATAGAGGGCATCCGCGAGGTTGCCGAAGGGAATCCTCTCGGCAGCTTTGCGCGGGAGGAACGGCGCCGGGTCGAACGCCGGCAGGGCAACCGTCATGGTGCGCCCCACACGCATGTCGGACTCGCGGAAGAAGAGGCCTTCCACAGACGACGCCTGTTGGGCAGGACTATTGCATATGATCCTGTAGGAGTAGCCGAGGCACGCGTTGGGCAGGATCATGGCGGCAGAATGGTGCTGCTGGAGCGGCGAGTGATCGGTGCCCTTCTGCACGAGGTGGGCGATGGACTCGGGCATCGGCGAGTCCGGGAGGGCCGCCTCCCAGAACAGTGCCGCCGGAGTGCCTCCAGGGGTATGGGTGTGGCCATGCACCGTCGCGGCCACAACCATCAGAATAAGTAGCAGGACGGCTGAAGAAGCCATGGCTTGCTTTTCTTTCTTACTTGAAACTGAGCTTAGCTTGGAGTGGTAGATGGGTGAGCTACCCAATAGGTGCACTATAAATAGCGTTCGACCTGCATGTTCGACCCTACCCAACGACTACGTGGCTCCACACACGCGGCGCATGCAAAGGGCAACTCGATGCAGACATCGTTGAATTTCCGGGTGCAAGCAACTTGTAATCAAATTCAGTGAACATAGACTAGAGTCATCGTGAAGCCAAACAACTTGATCTCGCTCTCGACAACAAACAAAAAAGAGAGCTTGATCAGGGTTCACCCTTCACTCCGGCTGTTTTCGGCAAGTTGACGAGCACCACGTGGAGTGAGCCAGAAAGGAGTCATCGTGAGCAAGTTGACGAGCACGGGTTTTTGGTGGCCGCGGTTTGGGGGAGGTCCGGTGCATTCACTAGCTAGCTATTATCGGCACGTGTGTGTTGTTTGTAGCTATAGCCTACTACCTCCGTCGTGGTTTATTGATTCCTTTTTTATCATGTATTTAACTAATAAAATATTAATGCATGTCATCAAAAATAATATCACTGGATTCATATTTTTTCTGAGGGTCATTGGATTCATATTTAAATATAGTTGCAATAGTATAATTTTTTATGACATGCATTGACAATTTATTAGTTAAAATCCACAGTCAAAATTTGATATTAAATATAAAGGGGGCCAATAAATCAAGACGAAAGTATATAGTACATGCATGCATGCAGGATTAATGAACCACTTACAATAACCAAAACAACGGCGAATTCAAGAATCCTCGGAGAAGGAAAGCACCGCAAAAAAAGCAGCTCAAAAAGAAAAGAAAGAAAAAGGACCCATCAGCAACCCAAACTCTACCATCAAACGTGAACACCATTGGATCCATCGTCAGGATCTTCAAGGTGACGCCCCAAGGAGGAAAACGATGTTGAGGGTACCGCCATCACCCGATCTGGCACAGCCATATCTTAGATTTTCACCCGTAGATCTCACGCGATTGGATAGGAAGGGCAAGCGGCTCCACAATGATACCTCCAAGGAGGATGACGATATCCGTGGATGCCGTTACCGCCGGCAACGACAAGGTCAATGCATGATTTTCATCCAGAGCCGAGCCTTCCACCAACAATCCCAAGATCCGAGACCACCAGCGCCACGTAGCATCACAACCCCAAGCAGACACTAGCAACAATGAATTTGTCGAAGTCCGCATGGAGGAACTCGGCGAGCACACGCCAACCTGGCTGGTCCGCACCGCCGCTCGCAAGCCCTGGGCGAGCCAAGCCAGATCTGGCCATTCTCTACCTCCGTGCGCAGACCAGGCGATCCTCCGCACCGCAGCGCACAAGAAAGGCCGGGGGAGAGCCGGACATAGCCGGTACGCACCGCCACACGCAGAACTGGGCGGGTTCCAAACCAAATAGCGCCGTCCGCACCGCCGCGCCCAAGAGCAAGAGTGTTCGTGTTGGATCTGGTCTGCGCGAGCCTCGTGAAGCACCGGGCAAACTAGACGGCGCCACCACTCGAGGGACCTTGGCGTGTACGCGCTTGAACGAGAATGACCACCAGCAACCCCGACTCCACTGCTACTGCCTCCACACGCCAAAATGCAGTTGACCCAAGCGTGAAACGCAGCCATCTGACGAGCTGGCCCGCGGCGCCAAACCATTCCCGCCATGAGCGGGCTAATGACCAGATCTGCCGGCCGACCCCGCTCCTATGGCGCCAGAGACCTCCTCGTGCAAACGGCGCGCGCGCCGGCACCACCCACCTCACCCTCAAGCCACAAGCCGGCAGAGGTCAGATCTGCCCCGACCGACCGCAGCAACCCCGCACCTATGGGGCCCGCGAACTCCTTGCGCCGGCGCCGCGCGCAGGCTGCCACTCGCCGCCATGGTGCGCCGGGTAGCGCTAGCCCACGCCCAGACACACGCTGCAGCGCCCCTTGCCTTCGCTTAGCGCAGCAGCCCCACACATCTCACCTTACATGTAGGGGAAGAGAAAACCCGCCGCCGACGCCGCACGGGCTTTGCTTGGGGGCGTTCACCGGCGGCGGCGAGGAGAGGAAGCCTAGAGGTGCGGCGGCGCCCGGCGGCTAGGGTTAGCACCTGGGTTGCTCGCGAGGAGCGACACGGGGCTCTTTGCGTCTTACTTTAAGAGTTGATTCTTCTGATCAATGAATTGGCAGTCCTCCTGCCAACATTAAAAAATGGTGGCGGATTCTAAAGGAATATCTAACAGTAACCCATAAAAAACCTCCTGCATCCATCTGCGGATGGGGGGGCCAGTCAGCGGACATGAATGCGGGAGGCAGTCATCCAACCATAGCCGCATATATTTTCACAACAACTCAAACTAACTGGACGAAATTCGATCAAACACGGCCGGATTACATATAAACATGATCGGGTTTTATATAAACATGAGGGATTTCATTACATTTACATTAACTAAACAAAGCACGTCCGGCTAGGTATAATTAATCTAAATAGTCGTCGGCGCCCGTTCCCCGTGTCCGGCCATGAACCAACAGAACTGAAGCTTTCACCGTCTCCAGCTCCGCCTCGGCGCTATCCAGCTCTATCTCCGTGACCTCCTTCTCCAGAGGCCCAGGAAGTGAAGTTGTCCTGCTCCACATCACTGCCAAGCAACTAATCGGCCGAAGGTGGTGAGCCCACCAAGCTTGGTGTCGACGAGAGGGGAGGAACAGTGGCCATCCTGCGACACAAGCGGCGGCAACCTACCATGCACTACTCTCCTCGCTGTCGGCGGTGCCCGCGAACGTGCCGGCTTCTTCTTGGTCGTGCCACCGGGGCGCGGCCTCCTCGTCGACGGTGTCGCCGAACAGCACCTCACTCGCCTCATCGTCACACTTGTTGCCGACGGCCGTCACCCACTGCAGGAACTGCCAGCCAGCGAGGCGGACCTCGCGGGCGGAGCGGTAGTACTCGAGGAGCGCCTCCTGCTCCGCCAGGTCCGCATCTGACGTGACCGACCTGCCGAGGGCTACCAGCTCCTCCGCATGCAGATATGCTCCTAGAGGAGGTTGTGGTTGTGGTTGGCATCGGCCTACGCCTCCTGGAACTGCTCATCCCGCTCCTTCGGCACCATGTCCATATAATGGGCATGGGCCACGCCAATGGTCATGGTGCAATACACCAGCAAGGCTGCAACGAAGGAAGAGGAGGGTGGCGCTGGCACGTCGGAGGAGGCGTCCTCCATTTTGCACGTCCTCCGGCTGCCTGTCAGCCTGCTAGTTGGTAGCAATGGCGGCCATGCCCTTCTTCTGCTCCGACGTAAGCCCGCCCCAGAGAGCTTTGGTCGCGGAGGGATCCATCGCTGGAGTGATGTGGAGAGGGATGACTGTGGCTATATGGCTAGGGCAGTGGTTTATATAGCACCGGTGAGCGCCAGAGGGACGGATGGGTGGCACAAGAGGAGACGCCTCGGCTACCGTGTGCCATCAATGTGGGCGGCAGACGGACGGGCGGCCGTCGTGTCGTTTGAACGAGCGGTGGTCGCCTGCACCAGGAAGCGACGCGGTCGGCGCTCTCTCAGCCGACACACCGCTTCAATGCTAGCGCCAGTGAGCGGACTGAAAACGTGCGGGAGGGGAAGGGTTTTTTGGTTGTCCAGGACGGTCAGAAACGGGCTTGGGATTGGTCCGGACTCCCATAAACCTCCCCCACTTTTGTCTCTGGTTTGCAGGAAAAATCGCGTCCGGACCGCGTCGTGGACCGATACAGGCTCGCGTCGGATGGCTTCCACGGTCCGGACAACGCTTTCCGAACCGTTGCGGGAGGTTTGTGCGTCAACGTTGGAGGTGCCCTAACGGTTATTCTATTCCACTTCTAGATAGAGGAAAAAATTAAAGCAAAATTAATGAAACAAAACATAGTTTGAAAATTAGACTTTTTTATAGGACTCAATTTCAGTTTCAAAAAAGAGGACATTTGAAACTTTTAACAGGCAACAAGTGACTCAAACTGTGTGTAAAAATAAGCATTTTTTTCAAAATACTAGAACTAGATAATGAAGTTTTTATAACCTCGAGAAAAAGGATAAAAATGTATAAAGTTGCTAGCCAACTTGGCTCGAGGAGGCTTTCCCGATTTCGTTTCATTTTAGCCGTTGAATGGTGGCCAAACCAGTCTCAAAACTCTTTTGGGACGTTGGGTCTGTTTTTACCTCTCTGTAGTTTCAAAACCCAATGACTGGTGGGCTCGCGCTTGTTGCCGATTGGCTGGGTGAGCTGTTCTGGGATGCGCATAGGCCCTATCCTGATGCGCCGCGTGCGCGGAGCACGATTCTCAGCGAGGAGGCGTTGATGCTCTTGTTGCTATTCCCTCGTTTGGTCCTTGTGTGTAATCGCTGCATGTGCGAAAGTACCTTTCTACACCTGAGCTCATATGCTCCTGGTGTGAACAGTACATTAAATAAAATATAAAAATATTTCAAAAAAATTTAAAATTTTTTTATAGCATACTCTAAGAAGTGTTTGTTGTGCATGCAAATTTCATCATGAAATCACATTCGGAAGTCGTGGAAAAAAACAAAATCAGAGCTCCAAAATGTGTTTGAAAGTAACATTTACAGAGTATTAATTTTGTTTTTTTACCATGCCTTCCACCAATGTCATTTCGTGATGAAATTTTGCATGCACAACAAACATTTCTTAAAGCATGCCACAAATTGTTTTCAGAATTTTTTGAAACGTTTTTCTATTTTATTTATTTTACCGTTCATGGCAGGAGCATATGAGCTCAGGTGTAGAAACTCCACGTCCATGCATGTGGCCCTATTTTCGTTCTAGCCCCATCTGATGATCTTTTGTTCGTCCTTGTACACTGTGTGACGGTTGAATAAAGCTTTGCAAGATTGTCTCAAAAAATTAAATATAGGTATATTTATTATTTTATTACCCCAAGTATGCTTATTTTAAGAGTAAAGTGCACTATAGGTCCTTGAACTATTTAAAGGGTGTCACAT